TGCCCCGCGCCCGGTGCGAGCGGCTGGTGCGGTGCCTTAGCGCTTTGTTTTAAATTCCAGGTCCAGCCTCGGCCGCTCAGCCCTTATCGAGGCTTTTACCGCAGCCTGAGCTCATCATGAAGGTAAAACGCTCGCTTGTGTGCTTGGGAGGGGAAGGAAGGGAGGGTTGCATGGAGAAATGCTGTCCTATCTGGCAGTCCATCTGTCCCGACCCCGGTGCGAGGCTCGGTGCTGGTGCAGATCCAGACTGCAGGCTGCTTCGCCCCCACTGCTGAGTTTTGGTGCCTTCGCTCGTTTGCTGACGGTGGGGCAGGCTTTGCTCCACCACGTTATGCTGGGGGTAACTGTAAGTTCGCTGCGCGGGGGTTGTTCTCCTTCAGAAACATTGTTTGTAGGAGAATAAGGACATGGCTGCCTGGGCTAAGCTTGCTTCATGGAGGAGCAGGGGACAGTCACCCTGCTTGAGAAAGTAACGTTGCAGGGGTAATGCTGGCTATACAACCGTGTTTACTTGAATAGGGGGTAAATGGTAGATTTTCTTACTTTCTATTTGTTAATAGGAGTTTTGTTGAATGAATAATCTTGATATGATCAGGGAGGGTGCATGTAAGAGATTCTCTGCAGTGAAATGATTGCTGTAAGGTGCAGAAAGATTTTCAAACAGGTTCTAATTTTCTTCTCAGTCCTGCGTGGTATTCACATACCTCATCGTCACTCATTTTTCTTCTCTTAGGCCTTTCTAGACTATTTATTTCCAATATATTATGCAAGTTTTATAGAAAAAAACCTGTATCGGTGGAGTAGAATGACTTCTTCTATGTGTGGCAAAGATCTGTGTACCTAAAAGTAGTTTTTAACAACTGGGTTGGTTAGTTTTTTTAATCATTTTGCTGATATGTCTCACTCAAAACTGCCATTCATGTTACTAGGACCCCCATGTAATTCAGCTCCCAGTCCTGCTGAGCTGCAGTAAATCTCATTTCAGAATACTGTAAATCGTATAAAAAATAATTGTTACAAACCTGTGATACATCATTTCTTTGGTATTTATTAATAAAAAAGAGCAGTCTGTGTGTGGGGTCTTGCACTATCAGAGTTGTGCCTACTGTCTGTGAATGAGTATTACGTAAAATGTGTACTTAGTACTATATTCACTGCTGGAAATGGTAAATGATATGGACTGTTTTAATTTTTAGATTGATCTGAGTTGCTGAGCAGCAAACTGAGTCTTTTTGTATAGCTGTTAAAGGTTTAGCGTGTTTTCTTTACTTTGGTGACTTAATGACAGTATCTTTTAAAAAATCGTGTTTTAATTGCCCTCCCTATGATCTTTCTTTAACAAGTGTTAAGATCTAAAATACTGCACACATCTTTCTCATTAAAAGTAAACTATGAATTTACAACAACAGGCTGTTGAAGTAGTATGATAACGGAGCTTTCCAAATGTGGCTCATTGCCTGGTGGGGATGCAGGAGATGGAAGCAAGAGAAATAGGAGGCAGTATAGGGAGCTTTTTTCCCCCAGAAGGAAAAACACTTATTTAAATGACAGCTAAATTTACATGCATTTCTAATACTCTTTTTCCATGTAAACAAATCTTACAGTTACCATAGAGATTAGGTTCAGATTCTGTGGTTATAGAGCCATATAAATATGTAGATAGACAGTTGGGAGGATGAGGAGGTCGGATCACAAGTGGAATGCAAAGTGTTCTGTGGAATAGCGATAGAGACCCACTTCAGGCTGAATTGAACGTCTAACAAATGCTTAAATTGAAAGTAGCAAACACAGAAACCTGTTAATAGAGCCATATTTAAAAAAAACCCTCCCAGCTTACTTATTTTTCGATCAGGTTTGTGCTACTATTGCGTTTTTATTTATTTTTTAAATCTGGATTAATTCTGCCAGGGTGTTCAAATGCTAAGTTTAAGTCTGCAATTTTTGCAATTTGTGTGTGTAGCGTTAAACTTGCATATGCTTGCAATAACTCCCAGTACTTTATTTACTGTGCCCTGTAATGTTAAGTAAGGTTAATCTATAAGTCATTACATTGAAGCTTTTGTTATTACAGTGAAACTTTTAATGGAATTGTAGCTCAACAGAAATTTCTAAGATTCAACAGTCTAACCAAGACTGTT